ACCAAGGTGATGAAGATGGCTGCCACCATAGCCAGGTAAGTACCCCTGGCGCTCCTCCCCCTTCCTTCCTTCTTCCTCCCCCGTGTCCTTCTCCTTCCTCCCCAGCAGTGCTGCTTCAGCCTAGCACTGCTCCAGCCAGCGCTCCACCAGTGTGTCGCCAAACTTGCACACCGAAAAAGAGGCCGGACTCTCCGCCCGGCCCGAAGATATAGCGGCCTGCTTTGCCTCTTGGGCGGTGACTTCCAGGCTGCTTGGCCTCCCAAGCAACCGGTACCTCCTCCTTTTTGGAGGGAAACATCATTGCAGACTCTGATATTGCCCGTACAGGCCCTAGACTCAGACTGGTATCCGCCTAGACCTAGCCTACACTACTGGGCCTCTAAAAATGCCACTTTTGTCTTCTTCTGCTCGTCCACCGGTACCTGCACATTTACCCCTTCCAGGTGCGCTACCGGCCTACCCGCTACTTGAGTGTTTTTCCCTGCTGCAACCCTTCAATGTAACAGCCACAGGTAAGTACCGCCCCTGAGGGCCCAACGAACGAGCAAGTGCCCTGACGGGCCACACACATACTCATGCCAACCAGCACACRGACAGGCACGGTCACACACACACCCAAGCCAATCAACACTCAGACAGGCATGGTCACACACACACACTCAAGCCAACCAGCACTCAGACAGACATGCAGTGCAGCAAGCGTGCACACACAGACTTAGTAGCAGGCGGGAAACTCAGCAAGGCATTCAGTCTATGAGCAAATCAGCTGTGTGTTTCAGTCCATGGTTGGACGGGTCATCACAAAACAGTATCCGGACAAGGGTAAGATAGCAATCATCAAGGGTCAAAGCCTAATCTTTAAAAGTGTGGAATGTTTCATCCCAGACCAACATTCCAGTTTCAGAACCAAGGATTAGCACACCAGACTCAGTCAGCATCCGGATCAACTCCTACTAAACACACTACAGATAACCACAACTAACTTAGGCAAACGAACAAAACACTTACCCCACAACGAAACCACCCCAACAGCACAATCAGGAACAGCAGCTTAACACTGACCTTTATTAACAGACAGTATGTCAAACTTCCAAACCCCACAAGGTCTCCTACATAAGAAAGAGCACACTACCTCAACCCCTACCCCAACCCCAACCCCAACCCCACCCCCACCCCCACCCCCACCACAAAGTGGCACAAGCCCTTAAAACCTCCCATCTTTGTCCTATCCCAAGCCCAATTTTCCCACAACAAACCTCCCTGGTCCCCCTCTAGACAAGACAACTCTTGCCCAAACACAAAAGACACACCCAACCTCCCAATCCAGACCCACCTACACAAGCCCTCCTCAACCCAACATTCTAATACCAGTGTCACTCCATCCATAATCAGTTCCCAATAAGGCAGCACTATTTACTAAAGACTAGTAAAGAGAGAAAAAGTCAGAATAAGGGTCAAAGACCATAAGAAGAGAGGTCAAACACGGGGTAAACAGGCTAGCCAAATTTGATAGGGTTTAGGGTGTTAGCACTAGTTAGAACTGGGTAAAGAGGAAGTTTAAATAAGGTAAGGTTAGGGTTTATAACTTTATACGCAATCATAGACATCAGAAACTAGAAAGGAGAGGGTATAGGGTATTGCAAATTTCAAGTGGAGGATCAGAACAGAGGCGGGACACGAATAGGGATCGCAAATAAGAACTAGGGACACGAATAAGCAAAAAACCAAGGACAGCACTTCCAAACGGAGGATCAGAACAGACCAAAAACCAAAACAGAACAGAGGAGGATAGTCCAAAAAGGAAACAATAGCAATACCAACCCGCCATGAAAGAAAGAGAACATACAACATAAAGGAAGAGAAGGGAAGGCTAAGGGACTCTAAGCTCAAGCATATTAACAACGTCCAGCAGACACCTCACTACACCCCCCAAACCAACCGCCTACACGCATACTAACCACACCAAGCCAAGACACCAAGGACAAAATACACACTGCACCCCCACAAGCCTCAGAAATTCGCAACTCCAACCAAATCCGTCCCACCCAACAGGGATGCAGCCCCACCCTTACCACTTTTACCCTCCCTCTCCCGCCCCAAGCCCACAGCCCCAAGCATACCGACCCAGAATCCAAAACCTTCACCACTACACAAACTACCTCAGACACTGCCCCCCCCACCTAAACTACCCCACCAAGAAACCATAGGCATGCTCAACAGAGTCAACTCAAAAGTTGGACAAAGACAGACCATAAAAACACACTACAGCCAGCAAGGGTTTAGGGTTTTAGATTGAGGGTTCAGGTTTCAGGCTAGATAAGAACATAACACATAGGGACTAGGATGTCAGAGAATTAAACAGATTCATAGACTCTTCAGACCGCTCTAGCATGACACAACAATCCGACAGCACCACAGCTGAGAGGAGCGGGACTGGGTTCAGGCAGGAGGACATCAGCCAGGCAGAGCAAATAGCATAGGCTAAACTAGGCAGGGGTGAGGGGTGGTACATCCTTCCTCAGAGAAGTAATCAATGCCGTCCACTCGGACCTCCCAACCATAATGGGGAGGAGC